ACAGGCGCTGGAATCCTGCCAATATAAAATCATGGACCTAGAAGATAGGTCAAGGAGACAGAATATACGGATCAGGGGGATCCCTGAGACGGTGAAGCAGCCCGAAATAGCGGCATACCTCACGGCTTACTTCAAAACATTAGCCCCAGACCTCCCAGCAGATGTCTTGCTCTTGGACAGGGCGCACAGAGTCGCTAAACCAAGCTTTCTCCCAGCTGAAGCGCCAAGGGATGTACTGACGCACCTTCACTATTATCATGCGAAAGAAGCACTGATGAGAGCGTCCAGGCTCCGCAAAGACCTTCCAGCCCAATACAACACCATTCAACTATATGCAGATCTCTCTGCCCAGACCTTGAAAAAAAGAAAGGAGTATAAAGAAATAACCGATGCCCTCCGTTCCCATGAGGTGCCCTACCGCTGGGGCCACCCAGTGCGTCTCCTCATACATAAAAATGGAGCTATGCACGTTATCACCTCTCTGGCGGATGGACGGAAAACACTGCAGAAATGGGGTATACAACCCCAGAACCAAGCAAGAAGCGACAACGACCCACAACCGAGTAAGCTTACAGCCGACTGGAAAAGAGTACGTAACTAAAGCCCTGAGGCCCTGACGGAGGAGCACACACTTGCAACACATTCAGCAGCAAAGATGGCGTGAGATGCCATACGCTACCTCCAATAACCACGACTAACAGAAGCGGGACTGTTTAAAGGCCACGAAGAAGGACTATTGATTTCAAGCAGGTGACTATGGCACTATAACTCCCCATGCTGCCCTTGCAACACTGGCAGCGCCCCATGCGTCAACAAAACACATTCACTTGCAACACACACACTGCATGCACACTGGAGGCTAACAACACACAACACGTGCCAATCTCAGGGACAATAAAGCGACACAAAATGACACACTACGCTGCCACGGGAACTTTTAGAGCCGTAGGCTCAGGCAGAAGCACACTCACAGCTGCAGCCTGCGGGGAGGCAAACAGCCTCAGCATCCTTGGAAGCAATCACCAGAAGGCTGCAGGGGACCCCCCCAGAGGATGACGCAACACAGCTCAGGGGAAGTCGCCACGCTCGGGGGAGCTGGGGCAGCGGGAAGGCACCATGGGGAAGGGTAATTGTGAATATGATTTAATGCATTGTACACGCCTTGAATATCTGAACAATTTGTGGGACACAGTTGCAAGTCTAGCTCACATGAGAATAGGACAACCCCATTCAGAGCGGGGGGGAGCGGGGGGAGCGGGGAGGCATCACGGAGAATGGTAATATTGTTCCAAGTGTCACAATGGGATTGTTTCAGGCATTGAATAATGTATGAGGCATAGTTGCCAATTCAGAGTATATGTGAATGGGACAGCCCGTTCAGGGCCCGGAGGGAGCGGGATTGTACCACGGGAGACGATAATGGTGCCTCTTATGTATTGCAATATGTTTGGTTTGGATGTTTGCATAATATGTGGGGGACAGTTGCAAATCAAGCGTATAGGCCAATGGGATAGCCCCGACACATACAACGCCCTCCCCTCCACGAGGCCCCCAAGGAGAAGTAACTCCACCGGGGGACAGAAGAGGCGCCCACTGAACCGCCCCGCCACAACTAGACCATAGCGTGACCCTCCCGACCTCCTACACACCTTAGGCGACCGAGCCAATGCGTCACGCCAGGTAGCAACCACAGTCATGTACCGCCAACCTATGCCCCCTACTGTCCTGGACCCCCCCCCCGTCGGCAAGAGCCCCAAGCTGAAACTTAACACAATACAAAAAAAAAAAAAACCCAATGTTGAAGCATGCAGCGTGAACCCAAGGGACAACCGCAGCCCCAAGTTACTGTACCCTACCGCAAAGTCGACAGCCGCAAAGAGGCACCCCACTGGCCAACCGCCGGTCACAACGGACTGACACAGGCCAATCTTCCTACTGTTCTTTTCTTCACACCAACCACGCTCTCATGGTACCGCTAGCCGGAACCAAAGCCCGCCAAAGGGCTATAGTTTTTACCCCCCCCAAGTTCATACCCTCACAGTATGACCCCCCTACTCCCTTCCCCCCCTCTCCCCCCTCGACACTACTCCAAGAGACAGATGCACCCATAGAACAAGAAGGTGACGTCCACCTGCATAAAATGACAACCCCTGGGCCCACCAAAAGCCAGGCGCAATTCGCCATCACCACCACTAACCACACAACTCAGGCCCACACTACTGCCCAGCATTGTGGGAACAAATCCAATGCACTATCAGCCACAAGTTCAGCCTACCCCATAAGTAGATCACATAAACGAATCCTAGCGCTTCACGACACTGACCTATAGTATGAAAATACAAAGCTATAATGTTAGAGGGTTAAATACCCCATATAAGCGACATTGCCTCTTTCGAAATCTCAAGAGAGATCAGCCTGACATAATCTGCCTCCAGGAAACACACTTCAAAACGCCACCGACCCTAAAACCATCCTTGTACCCACACCAATACCACACTACGGCAGGGACAAAAACGAAGGGGACATCAATACTAATTAGCAACACAGTATCCTTCCAGCACCACTACTCACAGACAGACAAGGAAGGAAGATACACGATAATAGTATGCACAATCAACAACACTAAATACACCCTAGCAAATGTATATGCCCCGAACACGAATCAAAGAGACTTCCTACACAGAATCTTAGCCATATTGCGACCAGTACAGGAGGGCATACTGGTATTGTGTGGGGACTTTAACCACATCATAGATCCCATCAACGACACAACGTCCCATGCAGGCAGGGAGGTTCACGCGAAACATCGCAGGACCTGTGCATCATACCTTAAATTGCTGGACATTAATAAATTATATGACGTATGGCGAGTCCTACACCCTCAAGAAAAGGATTACACGTATCACTCAAACACACACAATACATACACTAGAATAGATAGAATCCATATGGAAAGCACACACCTGGACCAGGTTCTAGAATGCTCTATCGGCCAAATCACATGGTCGGACCATGCCCCACTAACACTGACCCTTAAAGACAACTACGACTACAAACACAAGAGCCCCTGGAGACTCAACGAAGCACTACTGACAGACATACCCTTTTCCAACCAATTAGAAGAAGCCATAACAGAATACTTCATGCTCAACAGCACAGGAGACACATCTGCATGCACCCTATGGCAGGCACACAAGGCAGTAGTTAGAGGAATCTTGCTAAAGCGAGCAGCATCTTTGAAACAAAGTAACCAGACCCAATGGATAAATTGGAACAAACAGTTAATAGACCTCTCAAACAAAAACAAAACGCATCCCACAGAGGCAATACGAAAAAGCATCGCGGAAGTAGCAGACAAAATTAGACTACACACGCTGCAGCGAGTAGGCTTTAACTTACGCAAACTCAAAGCAACATACTATGCCCAGGGAAATAGAGCAAGCAAAGTGTTGGCAGCCCGCTTAAAGCGAGCAGAAACGAACGCGAAAATATCACATCTGTACACACACGACAACACAAAAGTGATCTCCCCCATAGATATTAGCAATGCTTTTGCTAACTACTATAATAAACTCTACAACTTGGCTCAGTCCGAGCGAGCACCTGACCCGACAGAACATAACATACAATCCTACCTACAGGAGGTCCCCCTACCCACGCTAACAAAAGAGCAAATTACTTCTTTGCAAAAATTAATCACTCCAGACGAAGTGAAGGATGCAATACAAACCTTACCTAAAAACAAAGCGCCAGGCCCGGATGGCTTCACAAACAGGTACTACAAAAGATTCGCGACCGCTTTAGCCCCACACTTGGCATCTCTCTTTAACTCCGCTACCCAAACCAAATCACTACCAGAAGAGCTACTGCTCGCCCATATCGTCACCCTACCAAAACCAGGGAAGCCCCCAACACACTGCCCAAACTTCAGACCAATATCCCTCCTCAATACAGACGCCAAACTATACGCCAAAATATATGCCCGGCGATTGGGCCCACTTCTCCCATCCCTTATTCACAATGACCAAGTGGGATTTATAGCAGGGAGGCAGGGAACAGACAACACCCGGAAGGTTTTAGACCTAATACACAGCATCAGACGGAAGGGGACAAGTAGCCTACTAATGTCTTTAGATGCGGAGAAAGCCTTCGATCGATTAAATTGGCGCTTCCTGAAGGCAGTACTGATGAAATATGGCTTTCCCTCCCAATTCACAGACACAGTAGAGGCTAAAGTCCTAAACGCAGGATTCTGCTCGGACAAATTCAGAATCTCTAATGGCTCCCGCCAGGGTTGTCCACTTTCCCCGCTGCTCTATGTCCTGGCATTGGAGCCTCTGGCTGCCAAGATCAGGATGGAATCGGCAATCCACGGGGTAACCCTTCGTCAGAAAGAATACAAATTAAGCCTGTTCGCTGACGACATATTCCTCACTCTCACGCAACCACACATATCCCTACCTAATCTCATGCACCACATCACGGAATATGGACGAGTGTCATATTATAAGCTAAACGTCACTAAGACACAGGCACTAAGTATCAATCTCCCCGCAACACAACTGGTGAACCTTAAGAGCTCGTTCCCTCTAGACTGGAGAGAGGATCACCTCACCTTCTTGGGAACTAAAATGACCAAAAACCCCATGTCTCTCTTCAAGACGAATTACCAACCATTGCTAGAAACTTTTAAGTCCCTGCTGAGTTCCTGGGAGGGGAAATACTTGTCCTGGGTGGGGCGGATCGCGGCCATAAAAATGTCACTACTACCCAAACTCCAATACCTATACAGAACACTACAAATTCCAGTACCAGATAAGTACATCAAAGCACTCACGAAAATGCTAACACACTTCACATGGCAAAATAAAAAACCCAGAGTAGCGACCAACCTACTACAAAGGTCAATAAATCAGGGCGGACTAGGCTTCCCCGACCTAAAAGCATATTGCAAAGCGGCAACATTGATGCTGGTGCCACAATTTCTACAACATCCCACAGCCCCACAGTGGCTGGAAATAGAAAATAGCTGGGCCCACCCAACGACACTACATTCCATCCTGTGGACACCTAAATCACATAGGACGGACACTAGCCACCTTTTACCCACGACTCAATACACCCTACATGTTTGGGACTCAACGAAGCACCTAATGACGCGATACCACCCACTACCTTTGGCTGCCCCAACCAGCACCCTAGCACATATAATACCGAACCTGAATACACAACCATGGCTACAGATGGGCATCCAAGAAATAGGGCAGCTATACAACGACAAAGGGCTAAAACTATTTCCAGACCTACAACAAGAATTTCAGTTACCCCACAGGCTAGGCTTCGCTTACCTTCAAATTAAATCCTACTTAGCTAAAAACAAACCTAACGGACCGGCTGCTACAGCCACAAAACCGATGACTGAGTTTGAACAGATATGCACACGTAGAAAACCACTGAAAAAACTTATTTCCATCAGCTATAAAGCTCTGACCCAAGCATCAGATCAGGGCAAAGAAACACACATCCAATCATGGCATAGAGAATTAGGCAGCACAATCCCACTGACAGACTGGACTAAGGCTTACTCCTCGTACAAGGGGGTAACATCTTGTGCTACTCACATTGAGATGCAGCGCAAACTGTTATACCGTTGGTACTTGGTACCAACCAGACTCCACCAGATGTGGCCGCGATCCTCCGACACCTGCTGGAGATGTGGTCAGAGTAAAGGCACCATGTCTCACGTTTGGTGGACATGCCCCATCATCCAATCCTATTGGCTAGTGGTACAAAAGATCATAACTGCCACCATACAAACGCAAATCTCACTAACACTGGAACTGTGCATACTATTCATACCACCAGACTCTCTTACTAAAGATAAGTGGGCAGCCATATACCACATCCTTATCTCTGCAGTTACATGCATTGCTAGGCTATGGAAACAAACGACAACACCATCACGAGAGGCTCTCATAAACCAAATAAAACTGAACTGGGCCTACGAGATGGTATATGCACGACAATTTGGAGAAAAGAAACACATGACTTTAGCACATAACAGGTGGAATGACTTTCTACGATCAGAAGGACTACAAACAGAACCGACATAAACCACGCAACCAGTCTCTTACACCCCCTCCCCCTCCCCCCCCCAAGTTCTCTCCCCCCATCCCCACTCCACATCTACCCTCTATCCTACCTACTTGTTTCCCTGAAAGTACGATGCTTGACAATGAGACGTACAAAGCATCAGGCCACTGGTGGCCGAAGGTAACCTAGCACAGATATGCACGATACACTCTGGCATGACCACCTACAGCCCTGAACCCCCAGAGGGATAGGGGAGAATAAAAACGAATTCATATTGTCTGTAACACCTACCAAGAATGTGGGGAATTGTGTAATCTGCATATGATGTAACTTAAATGTCATGACTGTATATCGATGCATTGTACAATAAAAATTGTCAAATTCAAAAAAATAAATATGGTGAGATCAAACTCTGATTGGAGAGTAAAAATACGAAACAAAAAAAGAGGTAGTGATGTCATAGGTGCAATGTCAAAGTTCAGAGAGCATCACCCCGGGTAGGATTTAACCCCGTAAAGTGTGAACTGGTGAAAAGAATATGAAATACGTGAGCAACCGAGATGTAGAAAATCCACATGCTCAGGTACCAATTAAAAAACAAGGATATAAATAAAGGATCAAAACGCCACCCAAGGTACAGATCTACTAAATGTCTAAAAAGGTTACGTACAAAAAGAGTATGATTAAACTAGAGCTGGGATAGCCAGATCCTATAGAGGAATTAGAGTTGCAAGAGGAGATATAATCTAATATATATAGTATATACAAAGCCACACAAGAGGGTTAGATAGTATCATATTCTAATTACACATAGTTCTAAATACATGTAGCAAATCTACTGGGATACAGAACACATGGTAAGAATACTCTAAGACTAAAGATAAACATAACCATAAATATGTGAAAAAAATCATTATCTTTTCGGAATGAAGCAATTCAGAGGATTAATCTCATTCAATCCTCCTGAATATATTGTTCCCAGTGTGAAAATCCAGAAAGCTTCTCTTTGAAGGAGCAAATTGTTTCTGTCACCTCCCCTCAAAGGGATCGGGACATGTTCAATGCCCATAAATTTCAGGGTTGGCAATGTGTGTCCCATTTCAAGGAAATGTTTGGCTATGGGGGTAGATGCAATACCACTAGAGAGTGCTATTCTGATAGTCGATCTGTGTCCCCTCATTCGTTGCCTTAAATCATTCGATGTTTTCCCAATGTACATAAGACCACAAGGACATAAAATACGATAAACAACGTGTGTTGTAGTACACGTAATCCGTTGTCGTATCTTGTACTCTTTCCCTGAATGTGGATGAAAAAATTATTTTCCTGGGGTCATATTGTTGCAAGCTGTATACTTCAAGCAACGAAAGCAACCAGGGTTCTGATGTATAAAACGTCTTGATGCTTGTATATCAGTATGGACCAAGTAGTCTCTTAGGTTCCTGTTTCTCCTATAACTGATCATGGAGTTTTGTTGAAATATCACTGGAAGTGTCTTATCTTAAGTATCTCCCAATTATCCCGTACCATTTTTGACAAGTCACGAGATTGTGAATGGAAAGTTTGAGGGAAAATTAGTCTAGTTTGTTTATTCTTAGTCATAGGTCCATCGATGTATAGTTGTAATGCCTTTGAGTATGCTCTTTCCAGTGTGTACCTTGAATATCCCCTCTGGGTAAATTTCTCAAACATTTCTTGTACCTGTACAGCAGCCTTAATGGAGTCAGAGTTATTTCTCAGTACCCTTACAAATTGTGATACCGGAAGAGATTTTATCAAATTGGAAGGATGGTGGCTAGTGGCATGTAGTAAAGTATTGCGATCAGTTTTTTTCGCAAACAAAGTATAACCCAACTTGTTGTTTTCAATAAAAATACGAAGATCCAAAAAGTCCATTTGTTTATTATTGATTTGATATGCAAGTCTAACAGGTAAATCAAGGTGATTAAGAGACTGTAACATGTTGAGTAATATTTGTTTTTCCCCAGACCAGATAATGAAGACGTCATCGATATATCCATTTCAAAATATGCTGGCTATATTCTTGTAAAATATATCTCTGTTCATATATAGGCATATATGCCTTAGCATACATGGGTGCCATAGGGGCACCCATAGATGTCCCCGAAATCTGGATGTAAAATGATTTTTCGAACCTGAAGTAATTGAGTGTAAGACATAGTTCTAATAACTCCAGGATATATTCAATGGGGGGCTCAATTTTCTCCTGATATTGTAGCAGAACCTGTCGCATCGCTAGTATTCCTTCTTTGTGGGGAATAATAGTGTATAGGCTGTTCACATCGATGGCCGCCAAGTAAACTCCTTGTGGAGGTAATTCAATAGAGCTGAGGGCGGCTATAACTTGGGCAGAGTCTTTCACATAGGTAGGTAATGACATAACAGGTTTCTTGAATTTGGTGTCTAACCATTTTCCAATGGGTTCCAAGAGACCACCAATCACAGACACAATTGGACGGCCTGGTGGACATTTCAGATTTTTATGTACTTTTGGCAATGTGTATATAATTGGACACCTCGGATGCGTTTCAAATAAGTATTCAAATTCAGCTGTGGTGAGGAAGCCTGATTCTAATCCCCTCGGTAGTGTCTGTTCAATCACTTTACTGAATTCGTTAACTGGGTCAATCTCAGTATATTCGTAGACCCTAGTATCAGACAGTTGTTTCAGGAATTCAGCCCTATAGTCTTTATATTGTAAAATAACAATAGCGCCACCCTTATCCACAGGTCGTATAATGATTGACATATCATTAGCTAAGCTGTAAAGAGCCTCCCTTTCAGATTTAGAGATGTTGGAGAGTTACTTTTAGTATTGATTATTTCCGTGGTGTTAGTTTTAAGGATTTGTGAAAACGTTTTTACTGTAGTATTGGAAGTAAGGGGATCAAATGAGCTGCGCAATTTAAACCTTTCTGTGCCTTCCTCTTTAGTTTGATTTTTCTGATGCGAGTTTTTAAAGTGGTCTGCTAAATGGAGTTTTCTATTAAATTTAAACTGGTCAATTTCTCATTGAAATTTATTAATCCTAGATGTAGGAACAAATGAGAGACCCCTCTTTAATAGCACAATCTCTGCTGTAGTGAGGGTTCTAGCAGATAGGTTAATGATATGTGTCCAGTGCCTCTTCCCTTTCTGCCCCCTCCTGGTGTAATGATGAAGTTTGGAGGGTGCGCTATGCTCAAATGACTCCCACTGGTCGGTTCTCTCACCAGACCTAGTCCTGGTTCTAAAAAAGATGAATCAATATGTTCCGAATCTTTGGAGTATGCTCTCTCCCTCTGTGAAATCCTTTGATCAGAGTCAGACACTGATTCGCCCAAAGTGAAGTCTACTGTAGAAGCAATAGGTTTCCTAATGCGGGGCCTGTATGTTCTATATGTAGGTCTGGTGTTCTCTCCAGATAACCACCTATATACTCTATGCTCAGAGTAGTCAGCCTGGACTTTTGCAAGTTTTTCTCTCTTAAATCTGACAAGGTCGTTTTTATACTGTTTCAAATCTTCCATTTTTGAATCAACAAGTCACAATTAGGTGCAGCTATTGTGGTAGAATGTAACACTTCATAATCAGAAATTTTAAACTTAGTAATTTTTAGTTCTCGACCTACCTCCTCAATAACGACCAGCATCAGATCCAAGGAACATTTGTTCAATATGCCGATCCACTTACGACAGACTTCAGGGTTATTCCTTCCAATAGTTGGAACATTCTTAATCCAGAAGCCCCTTGGAATTTTTTTCATGCGATAATAGTCTGATAAGTAAATGGCATGTAATTCAAGATCTATTTGTCTTTGTTTAAGTTTTTGTAATTCTCTCACAATGTCCCGTGGTTCAGATGAGACAGGTAGGTCCGAGTCAGATTGTGGCCAGAGTATGACCCCAGGAAAATAATTTTTTCATCCACATTCAGGGAAAGAGTACAAGATACGACAACGGATTACGTGTACTACAACACACGTTGTTTATTGTATTTTATGTCCTTGTGGTCTTATGTACATTGGGAAATCATCGAATGATTTAAGGCAACGAATGAGGGGACACAGATCGACTATCAGAATAGCACTCTCTAGTGGTATTGCATCTACCCCCATAGCCAAACATTTCCTTGAAATGGGACACACATTGCCAACCCTGAAATTTATGGGCATTGAACATGTCCCGATCCCTTTGAGGGGAGGTGACAGAAACAATTTGCTCCTTCAAAGAGAAGCTTTCTGGATTTTCACACTGGGAACAATATATTCAGGAGGATTGAATGAGATTAATCCTCTGAATTGCTTCATTCCGAAAAGATAATGATTTTTTTCACATATTTATGGTTATGTTTATCTTTAGTCTTAGAGTATTCTTACCATGTGTTCTGTATCCCAGTAGATTTGCTACATGTATTTAGAACTATGTGTAATTAGAATATGATACTATCTAACCCTCTTGTGTGGCTTTGTATATACTATATATATTAGATTATATCTCCTCTTGCAACTCTAATTCCTCTATAGGATCTGGCTATCCCAGCTCTAGTTTAATCATACTCTTTTTGTACGTAACCTTTTTAGACATTTAGTAGATCTGTACCTTGGGTGGCGTTTTGATCCTTTATTTATATCCTTGTTTTTTAATTGGTACCTGAGCATGTGGATTTTCTACATCTCGGTTGCTCACGTATTTCATATTCTTTTCACCAGTTCACACTTTACGGGGTTAAATCCTACCCGGGGTGATGCTCTCTGAACTTTGACATTGCACCTATGACATCACTACCTCTTTTTTTGTTTCGTATTTTTACTCTCCAATCAGAGTTTGATCTCACCATAATTAAATCCTTACTTTTCCCATTTTTCACCGTCTTGATAAAAGTCCTTCTGGGACTGAAACGTCAACTTGATCGTTTTAAAATTCTACACGTTTGTGAATAAACTAAGTATATTTTCTTCAAAGAAGTCCTCCTGAGTGCACTCTTTTTCTATTGGTATACATTACGGCTGAGGTAGCACCGACACAGGTACAAGACCGGCAAATTGAGTGCGGGATATTCGAAATATATATATATATATATATTGTCATTCTAAGTGTATTTTGTTACCTATATATATATATTAATAACAAACTACAGTTAGAATGAAATTACATATGAATATATAATTTATATTAAATTTAGTTTTTCAATATTTTATTTATTTTATTATTTTATTTATTGTAATTATACGTATATATGTGTATATATCTATTACATATATGTGTGTAATATTAAAATACACTTAGAATGACGTTACATATATATGTGTGTGTGTATATATATATATATATATATAACGTCATTCTAAGTGTATTTTACTACTAATATATGTACTTATATTAATATTAAAATACACTTTGTATGACATTACATATATATAATATATATATATACATTTCTATTTTATTTTATAACATGTTTAATGAATTTTTTTTTTTACTTTCCCACCAGCAGGGGGACTGTCTGACATTTCAGACAGTCTCCCTGCTGGCAGATCCACAGCCAGCTATAGGTGGCCATATTTGCCGGGCTCCCTGGGCTGTCAGGCAGCCCTCCAGAAGAGGATCGCGGCAGAGGTGAGTACCGTGGACCTCCAGAGGCTCAAAGCCGCTATGGCGTTCAATGCCGCCGCAACGGCTTTAAAGCCCACTTAACGCGGGATGGCATAGAACGCCGTAACGCCGTTATCGGGTTAACTCCTAAATGACAGTGAATTGAGCAGTGAAATTGCAGAGGAATGATCTTTACACTAAAACTGCTTTATTTAAAGTTATTTAGGTGACTATAGTGTTCCTTTAAGTTCAATGTTTTATTACTCTGAATTTTATGTGATGGATCAGAACACAATAGTCTAAGTTGGTGAAGTGAAATGAGAAAAATATATACATAAAACAATTTTTTAGAAATAGAAAACAGAAAATTGGCATGTGCGTATGTATTCACAACCTTTGTTATGAAGCCAATAAAAAGCTCTGGTGCAACCATTTACCTTCAAAGGTCACATAATTAGTGAAATGATGTCCACCTGTGTGCAACTAAGTGTCACATGATCTGTCATTACATACACACACCTTTTTTGAAAGGCCCCAGAGGCACCACCTAAGCAAGAGGCACCACTAACCAAACACTGCCATGAAGACGAAGGAACTCTCCAAACAAGTAAGGGACAATGTTGTTGAGAAGTACACGTCAGGGTTAGTTTATTAAAAAATATCCAAATCTGTGATGATCCCCAGGAGCGCCATCAAATCTATCATAACCAAATTAAAGAACATGGCACAACAAACCTGCCAAGAGACGGCCGCCCACCAAAACTCACGGACCAGGCAAGGAGGGCATTAATCAGAGAGGAAGCACAACCCTGGAGGAGCTGCAGAGTTCCACAGCAAAGACTGGAGTATCTGTGCATAGGACGACCATAATCCGTACGCTCCATAGAGTTGGGCTTTGTGGCCGAGTGGCCAGAAGAAAGCCATTACGTTCAGCAAAAAACAAAATGGCACGGTTTGAGTTTGCGAAAAGGCATGTGGGAGACTCCCAAAATGTATGGAGGACGGTGCTCTGGTCTTACGAGACTAAAATTTAACTTTTCTGCCATCAAAGAAAATGCTATTTCTGGCGCAAACCCAACACATCACCCAAAGAACACCATCCCCACACTGAAACATGGTGGTGGAAGCATCATGCTGTGGGGATGTTTTTCAGCAGCTGGGACTGGGAAACTGGTCAGAGTTGAGGGAAAGATGGATGGTGCTAAATACGGGGATATTCATGAGAAAAACCTGTACCACTCTGTGCGTGATTTGAGGCTAGGACGGAGGTTCAGCTTCCAGCTGGACAATAACTCCAAACACACTGCCAAAGCAACACTTGAGTGATTTAAGGGGTAGCATGTAAATGTGTTGTAATGGCCTAGTCAAAGCCCAGACCTCAATCCAATAGAAAATCTGTGGTCAGACTTAGATTGCTGTTCACAAACGCAAACCATCAAACTTGAAGGAGCTGTATCAGTTTTACAAGGAGGAATGGGCAAAAATTCCAGTGGTAAGATGTGGCAAGCTCATAGAGACTTATCCAAAGCGACTTGGAGCTGTGATTGCTGCAAAAGGTGGCTCTACAAAGTATGGACTTTAGGGGGGTGAATAGTTATGCACATTGACTTTTTCTGTTATTTTGTCCTATTTCTTGTTTGCTTCACAATAAAAAAACAAAAACCTTCAAAGTTATGGGCATGTCCTGTAAATTAAATGATGCAAATCCTCAAACAGTCCATGTTAATTCCAGGTTGTGAGGCAACAAAACACAAAAAATGCCAAGGGGGGTGAATACTTTTGCAAGGCACTGTGTATCTGTATTCCCAATCCTAAAGTGTTCATTTACATTAACTGCTGAAATTTTTTTTCTTTATTTTCTCTGTCATCACGATGTAGATCATACAAACTAGTACTTTTCATAATATGCAGATACCCTAAACTTTCCTTGGCCATCTTCTGTTTTACATAAACATTGTCACTTGCAAGCTGTGTAATACTTAATAGTTATACGGATAACTTTATTTATCCTCTCATTGCCATTAAAGGGACATGGATCACTTGATATTTTTTTAAACCAGCACACAAATATTTTTAAAAAGTATACAAACCAATACAAAGCACGAACAACTTTGAACAGTAAGTAATAAATATTTATAAATTCCATTCCCTTCCCCCTTCTTACCCACCCATCTTGGTTTCAGACCATTCCATTGACAACGCTTTGTGTAGCAGTAGGAGGGAAGCCTGTTTAAGGTGAAGAGATCTTCCAACTGTTCAAGTCTAACAGTCAGACATGCCTGATGTAAATTTCCAGCAATTCTATGGATAGGACACTTAGTTGGTTAGATTTGTGTCCCCCATAGAGTGGAAAGCATAAGAAATATCAAGCAGTTTAATATAAAATAACATATTTAGCTGCTTTTTCCAGACGTCCAAGTGGCAGTCATAACGACTGTCATGACTGTCGCTTGGACTGTGGAAAAATAAATTTACCGTAAGTAAAACATTTTTTTTTTTCCCCCCCTTAGCCTACAGGATGACACCTGTCTCATTCTAAACTAAATCTTTTTAATGAGACTTGTCTCAAAGTGATGCGTGTCCCTTCAATTGCTTTTCTGTGAACTCCTTTTGGGCTTTGCATTTCTGATAATAGATTAAAACAATCAAATCTTTAGGAAAGCCTACTGTGGCAAACGTGCGTATGCCACAAGCTCCTGGAAGAGCCTGCTAGCTAGCCTCCTGCCCAAGGTCTGTGTGCCATATACAAAGATCCTGTTCGGGCATTAACCCTGCCCAGCCGCCATTAGCAGCTTTCCCTTCATTCGAATGGAACCGAACACTAGCTTTGGGTATTTTTAGGTTTTATGTTTGCCTCTCTGTTACTGGGAGATAATTAGCTTACCGGTTTTTAACGCAATTATCTCCCAGGCAAATTGATCTTTAAAAAGGGGCTTGCATTGTATTGGGTGGAGACCCCCTGCTGGGGGTTGTGTGTAAAAGCAGGCAACTTGGCCATAATAAATTAGTTCCTTTTCACCCTTCACTCAGTCTGGGCTAGTGTTTGGGTGTATCAGCTGTACTCTCTGCAGGAGCGCTTAATCACTTGGAGCTGTACCAAGGACACTGTTCCAGGGCAGGAGACCCAGCTGTGGCAGCTAGGGAGCGAGCTTGATGGAGGTACCCAGTCTGGGTGCTAGGCAGTCTGTCACACCTACCATCTTTTAAGTGACCCTTCTTTCCTTTTCCCAGCTCACTCTTTCTTCTTCCACTCTATGGTTCGTCCATACACCACTTGTACTAGCTGAATTTTACACAGGCATCTTATCCATCAATCCCTCCTCTTTTGTTTCTTTACTATTTCCTGGTAGATTGTAAGCTCGTTTGAGTAGGGACTTCTTCATTACTTGTCTCTGTTGGTATTCGTTTGTATGCAAATTACTTGTGAAATATACCCCTTCTATCCTTGTAGTGTTGCAGAATGTGTTGGTACTGCATAAAATAATCATATTTCTCTTTCCTTTCACTTCAACACTACCATTTCTCTTCATTAATGACATTACATAATCTCAGTTAATCAAGCTTAATTACCAACTCTGGTATTGGACTGTTAGTGTGTTTCTCTTGGCAGGTATTAGATTAAAAGAAACCATGATTAATGTAGTTCATTAATACTATAAGGTCAGTCTGGTTACCAAACCTGCAATTATTTTCCCTGTCACTTATCCTTTTGCTTTTCAGTGTTGGTATGCAGCCATGAAGGTAGTAACCGCCGCTGTGGAGGACAGGGAGATCTCCTGGCTGGGTCTCTTGGAGTTTTGGTACACTGGGCATTTCTTGCTGGACCCGAAAAAATTAATGGGTATGCTATCCCAAGTTAATTATGCAGTTTTCCAAAGAAAAGAGTTGCCTGTGCACTACCCCAAATCCATATGCATATTCAAACAAATTGAGTTTTTTTTGTATCACTCCAATTGCCATTAAGTGTAAGCCCACCTGCCACATGGAAGCAAAATTAATTATTAGTGTAGGACCCACCTAAGAAGAGGTTTGCTTTCTTCAGCTTCAGGCAAAAAAAAACCCCAAAACCATATCTAATGCCTCTAACTGCCTGAAGCTAAAGGAAGCAAGGTGAGTTGTTCGTGTAGGACCCACCTAAGATGTTTGCTTTCACGTGGCAGGTGGTCTTACACCTAAAGGCCATTGGAGTGAAACAAAAATAAAAAAAACTTTTTTTTTTTTTTTAAATATGCACAGGGATTTCGGGTAATAAACTTGTTTTTTGTTGTATGTATTGAGGTTCATGTATACTATGGTCATTGCTGCTGTTCAGGAGTAGTGGGAGTCTGAGTCCAGGACTTATTTTTGTCTGGTTGTATATGCATTTTTCCAACAGGTATGTTATGTTTAACATTGTGAAAGCAATATCCTTAATTCAGATTTTAACTTCTACGCATTTTGTTAAATAAATGTAACCGCAACGGTAGGCTCCACTGCAGAGACTATTTTGTGTGTGTTTAATTTTTTTTTGGCCCTAACAGTTGAGCCATGGACCTCCATTACTGTATTTAACCCTGTAACTTTCCATGACCCCCTAAAACCAATACATGGGGGGTACTGTTTTACTCCGGAGACTTCGCTGAACACATATTAGTGTTAACGGTAAAACATATCACAGCGATGATATTTATTTTATTTTTTTGCATTTTTCTCGCACAAACTGCACTTTCACTGATATTGTTGTGATAAGTTTTACTGTTTAGAAACACCAATATTTTGTGTTCAGCGAAGTCTCCCAAGTATAACAGTACCCCCCATGTACAGGTTTTTCATAGTGTTTTTGAAAGTTATAGGGTGAAATTTAAGGCTTGATTTTCAATTTTTTCACATTGAAACTTCCCAGACTGATTGTTTCCTTTGAGACTGTATGGTAGCCAAGGAATGAGAATTACCCCCATGATGGCATACCATTTGCAAAAGTAGACAACCCAAGATATTGCAAACAGTGTATGTTCAGTCTTTTTTAGTAGCCACTTAGTCAAAAACACTGGCCAAAGTTAGCAGTTTTTTTTGCATTTTTAACACAAAAAAAATTTAAGCTAACTTCGGTAAGAAAACTGAAAAACTGTCTGGTCACTATGGGGTTAACAAAGATTTTAACACAACTGGCTCTCTTCAAGCCACAAGTGGTCTTTGTCATATTAATGGTGGATATTCAGTGAAAGTGATTTGAAAATGTACTCCCATTTCTCTCTCTTTATTTTTTTATTTTTTACTCTAGTCAAAACCCATTCCTTGTGGCAGCCTTTGGTGCCTGCTCACTTACAAGACAATGTAACCACCAAGCTTTCCAGAAACATGGACGTTCAATGACGACAGGCGACATGATTACTGAAGTTGGAACCGCTTTTAACAAACTCTTTGAAACCTGATACTACTGAAGCAGAGCACTGAACAGTGGCCTGTGGACTGCTAATGAATTAGAGATGTACATAGAGCCCCTTTCCTAATGCTGTAGCAGTATTTTAAACATGCCATACCGGCATGCTCAATTTTCAGTGTAGAAAACAAAATAAGAAAATACTGTAGATTTTTTTTTTTTTTTTTTTTTTTTAACCCCACAAACATGGCAGGTGGAATACAGAAGAATCCTGATTGAGACAAACGTCTACAACAAAAGTAATTGAAATAAAACAAGTGGGACTGGATTTTGTTAATTATATGAAAAAAAGGACTTTCTGGAAAGCATTTTGGTATTTTAGTTAGAACATCGAATATTAAATTTACTGATTGAAAGTAGTTTAATTGTAAGTCCCTATACACAGATTTGCACTATATGTATTGTTTTAATGATTTATTTAATCCTTAAAAAAAAAAAAACGAAAAAAAACCCTACTTTTTTGATAAGTAATTAAAATGTATAACACTACTCAACCTTTATAAATTTTATTAAACAATGTAAAGATACATAATCTATGCACTGCATGCCCCACTGTTAACCAGTGTATCCATCCATCATTCTAAGAAATATTGCGGTATAGTAGCGGAGGGCCAAGACTGGAAACTCCCGATCTTCAGTGATCAATATAATATGAAAACATTTTCTAACACTAGAATGTTTAATTCTACTCACCAGAGTTCCACGCGTAGACTGTCAGTAATAAGTTATCTGCTGAAAATTCGTCCCAGAACAATGGTTCTATCGGGTTGAATCCGGAAGCCCTCTGGCTGTAAGGTACAAGGCCAGGATGGTGTTTTCAGATTGTCCAAAATGAATTTATAAAAGTGCTGATTTCCCCTGAAACCAGCACTTTTATTAATTATAATTGTATAACTGCTCAGTTTCTCAATAACCACAATAAGTACCATTGCAGGATTAAACTAACGGGCCCAGCCCACTTTAATAAGTGGAAGTGGTCTGGGTACCTATAGTGTCCTTTTAAACTGCCTAAGAGTTTTGAAAATCTTTGAAAGTGCCGAGAATGTGATCAGAGAGGCAAACTAAACACATAAGTAAACATTGGAAGCTCAATTGATCAAAATAAAGTGCATCCCTAAATCAATAGCTCAATAGAAGAAAGAAGAAAAATAATGTAGAAAATAAATAAAAAGGTGATTACCTCAGCTGTTAGTAGCATATTTACCAACGGCCTTCTCTTCTATGGAGGCATAAGCCTTCTAAGCTATTGTTAGAGCAGGGGGCTACAGTTAGCACTTGGCTGTAACTCGATTCCTGCTTTTTCCCCCATTGCTTATCTATGACCCTAACTTCCTTTACTATGCCATGACTTTCACTTTATAGCTGTACATTGTGTCCACATGACCATTTAGGCTTTAGCCAGAACTCAAGCTATCCTCTAATGTCCAAGGGAGTTTTATTTAAAAACACTAAAGCGTTAGGTATACAAAATTGTATTCCTAACGCCATAGTGTCCCCCCTTCTTATTACTGTAGGTCTGCAGCCACTCTAATGAATAAAGGGTTAAAAACCTGTTTAATACACATACCTCTTTCTTTTCAACGTGCGCCACCTTCACAGGGCTTCAAGGATTAGCGTGAGGATCTGCTTTTGGCACCAGGTGCGGGCGGTGGCATTGGGGGTATACCAGAGACTGGACTCTAGTCACATACTGACAGCGGAAATGTAAGTGGAGTCTGCTTGTTGGCTATTTTTTTTTAACCAGGGCCAGGGTTTAGTATAGAGGACTGGGGTTTAGCAGAGGGGGGTGGGAATGCTGTTTTTTTTTTAAATTTTTAATACTGTACTTTTCAAAACAAAAAAGCCCATGTTATCCCTTGTTTGACATGCTTGCTCTAGAGGTTGCCTTAACCCTGCACTGTAAACATGGTTTTACATTGCAGGATTATTGGGACAAGAGCCTTTAACCCAAATTGCTTCAATGAGAGGAATTGGTCTGGGTGCCTATTGTGTCAATTTAGATTTTTATATCTGGTAGGACCATGAGAGACAGATAAATACAGATTAAGATACCTACCTACAAATTGTTCAAGAGCACACACACCACTTCACGGCAATGGTGTTTCCTGATGGCAGTGGCCTCTTTCGGCAGTATAATGCACTGCAAACATTGTTGAGTCATGTTTTTAGTAACATGACAGAGTTCAAGGTGTTGCATTGGCCTCCAAATTCTATATAAGGAGGCCCCATCTCCCAACTTGCAGGACTTAAATGATCCGCTGCACAAGTTTTGGTGCCAGGCACCACAGGACACATCCAGAGGTTTTGTAGAATCCATACCTCAAAGCATCAGATGTTTTGGCAGCATGAGGGGGAACTACAAGATATTAGGCAGGTGCTTTTAGTATTGTGGCTGATCAGCATGTGCATATTTGAATCTTTCGCGTTGAGCACAATTTTTTTTTTTTTTTAAATATAAGTGTGCTTAATAGTTTCCCCCTAAAACTTAAGGGATTATTTAAACCCCCATGACCACTTCTGCTTTTATAAGTGTTATGGTAGTAAGAATCTATAAATGCAGTGTTTCTACTTAAAATGCTGCACATAATGAGATATTTGCATCTGAGCCATGCCAAACTAATCTTATTGATTTTTTTGATTGGGTAACTAAAATTATAGATCAGGGTGGTGCAGTAGACATTGCTTACCTAGATTTCAGTAAGGCTTTTGACACTGTTGCACATAGGCTTATCAATAAACTGCAATTGGATTCCAATATTGTTGAAAGGCAGTGGCTGAGTGACAGGCAACAGAGGGTTGTAGTCAATGGAGTATATTTGAAGCTTGGGCTTGTCACCAGTGGGTTACCTCAGGGATCTGTACTTGGACCCATTCTCTTAAATATTTTTATTAGTGATATTGCAGAAGGTCTTGATGGTAAGGTATGTCTTTTTGCCGATGATACTAAGATATGTAACAGTGTTGATGTTCCAGGAGGGGTAAGCCAAATGGCAAATGATTTAGGTAAACTAGAAAAATGGTCAGAGTTGTGGCAACTGGCATTTAATGTGGATAAGGGCAAGATAATGCATCTTGGACATAAAAACCCAAGGGCAGAGTACAGAATATTTGATAGAGTCCTAACCTCAACATCTGAGGAAAGGGATTTATGGGTGATTATTTCTGATGACTTAAAAGTAGGCAGACTATGGAATAGAGCAGCAGGAAATGCTAGCAGAATGCTTGGTTGTATAGGAAGAGGTATTAGCAGTAGAAAGAGGGAAGTGCTCATGCCATTGTACAGAACACTGGTGAGACCTCACTTGAAGTATTGTATGCAGTACTGGAGACCGTATCTCCAGAAGGATATTGATACCTTAGAGAGAGTTCAGAGAAGGGCTACTAAACTGGTTCATGGATTGCAGGATAAAACTTACCAGGAAAGGTTAAAGGATCTTAACATGTGTAGCTTGGAGGAAAGATGAGACAGGGGGGATATGATAGAAACATTTAAATACATAAGGGGAATCAACACAGTAAAGGAGGAGACTATATTTAAAAGAAGAAAAACTAACACAACAAAAGGACAGTCTTAAATTAGAGGGACAAAAGTTTAAAAATATCAGGAAGTATTACTTTACTGAGAGGGTAGTGGATGCATGGAATAGCCTTCCAGCTGAAGTGGGAGAGGTTAACAAAGTAAAGGAGTTTAAGCATGCGTGGGATAGGCATAAGGCTATCCTAACTATAAGATAAGGCTAGGGACTAATGAAAGTATTTAGAAAATTGGGCAGACTAGATGGGCCAAATGGTTCTTATCTGCCGTCACATTCTATGTTTCTATGTGTTAATTACATGCCCAGAACTCTAGGCTCTCTCATGTCAATACTGTTTAAAAAGTCTCTTGTCAGCGCGTATTGCACACTGACAACAGAATTAATTAGCCTCACCTTTGCAGGTAGTGCCTGCAAGGGGGAGCGTGCATGTCCCCTTCCTCCCTTAAAAGCTGTAGTTTAATTCCCCCTCGATGTTATGCCTTAATTTTTTGTTTTGATAAACTAACTTGCCTGTGCTGCTTCCTCTTAAAGGAACACTATAGTCACCTAAATTACTTAAGCTAAATAAAGCAGTTTTAGTGTATAGATCATTCCCCTGCTCAATTTACTGTCATTTAGGAGTTAAATCACTTTGTTTCTGTTTATGCAGCCCTAGCCACACCTCCCCTGGCTATCACTGGCAGAGCCTGCATGAAAAAAACCCCCCAAAAAACAAACAAACTGGTTTCACTTTCAAACAGATGTAATTTACCTTAACTAATTGTATCTCAATCTCTAAATTGAACTTTAATCACATACAGGAGGCTCTTGCAGGGTGTAGCAAGCTATTAACATAGCAGGGGATAAGACAATCTTAATTAAACAGAACTTGCAATAAAGAAAGCCTAAATAGGGCTCTCTTTACAGGAAGTGTTTATGGAAGGCTGTGCAAGTCACATGCAGGGAGGTGTGACTAGGGTTCATAAACAAAGGGATTTAACTCCTAAATGGCAGAGGATTGAGCAGTGAGGCTGCAGGGGCATGTTCTATACACCAAAACTGCTTCATTAAGCTAAAGTTGTTCAGGTGACTATAGTGTCCCTTAAGCACGCTCTAAGCTCAAACAGTGCAAACAAGAGCTTCTCCCTTCAGAGATTAAGGAAGTGAAATGACAATGAAGTGGGAAGTTATCCTCATGGGTGACTTTAATCTTCCTGATGAACTGGAAAACCAAAATAGCTGCTTGTGCCAGGAGCACACATATTCGAAACTTCCCTACTGAGATTGGCTCTAAAACAAGTTGTTGAGGAGCCAAATCATAAAGAGGCTATACTAGATTTAGTGTTGAAAAATGGAGATTTGGTATCACATATTACTGTTGGTGAAAATTTAGGATCCAGTGATCATCAGTCAGTGTG